ATAATTATATATATAAAGATATAAAAATAATATTTGCACTTGGTCGTACTCTAATAAATATTTAACCAAATACCACGTATGTTACCTAAATGTGATTTTCCTTAGTCCCTCCACAAAGGAATGGCTTACATATTGGACTTGCCCTGTAACTGCTATTTTGGGTTTCCATTCCTGACTCCTTGCTACATCTGGGATTTTTTTTAAAAACCCCCTTGCCCGGCAGTCGCACTTGCAACTACTCGACCAACGAGGCAGTCAGTGAACACTATTCACTTAGGTGTATTGGGCACTTGGCACTATCATTCACAACCATCAGTCAAGACACAGGTTCATTAATACCAATATAATAATAATTGTAATATTAATAGTCTGTGCCTATTTTTTACAGCGACAGAACAAAACAATTATGTTTCATAATAAGTATTTAATAGAGTTGATTTTTCTTGTTTTACAATTTAATAGCCTAACAACGGATGTGCTTCATTATACACAAATAGTTCCAAACAGTTTTTATTTGCGCTCAACCTACATGGTGTTGTTAAAAATACGTCTTCCTGTAACTGGCTGGTAAAGTTAGATGGCCAAGAACTAGACGTGAAGATATTTTAAGTACTTTATAATAAGAACAATCTTAATTACCTACTTAGCGTAGGCTGCGCGACATCGCCTCACCGCGCACGCTGTTCATGAGGAAGAACCCCTCTGTGGTTTGAAACTAGTAGAGCTTTTCTCGGTATATTCACGTGAGTAACCCGCGATTTTTAGTTAATTTAATATGTCTCACGATAGTTATTATAAATAGAAGAAGAATCTTGGTTCATTATAGTATTCTTTTGTCATTACTTATCTCAAGTCATATGATGATGTGTTATGATATGATATCCAATTAGTCGTCGACCCTAATTTAGAACCGTCCTTTATTATGCCTACATTTTGTACGTCCCCAGTGGATTCAATAGTACGTTATTTTTAAATTCTGTTTTGAGAATATTCTTCTTTTTCTTTAAATATGTTTTTGACCCTGTTATAAAGAAAGGGAAGCCCAAATGTATCCATAACGTACATTTTTGATTGCCATTTCAAATTCCTGAGGCTAAAAATGTTCAATCTTAAAACTGAAAATATTCAAAAATGTAATAAGATCCGATATGTTACTAACTTTTAAAATCGATATCACGCTGTGGTTAATAAAATTATTCGATGGAAACTTGAATATTACACAATAATTTCATTAAATCTAAAATATCCTAAGTAATAAAATCCTCAATAGACTGAGTAAGACCAAAATAAAACTTTTAATTATTATTTTACACGTTTTTTGTACAAAAATGCAAATATAATTAGGTATTTAAAATCATTCATATCATAATATCAGATTAAATATTTAAAAATATTATTGAATTTAATGCAAAATTGTTATAATGACTTTTTTGTGGATTATTAATTAGTACATATTTATCGCGTTTATAATGTTCGATCTCTTTAAATATTTGTTTGAGTTTTGATTTCTGAAGATTTCTGAGCCGGGCCGGCTCGACCGGAGTACCACGGCCTCACCGAAAACCGAACAACGCTTGCGTTGTGTTTCGTGGTGTGAGTAAAGTTACCGGAGGCCCAATAACCCTTCCCCAATCTCAATCACCAACAATCCTCAAATTCCTAATCCCCAAAAATCCGGTAACGCACTTTGTAACGCCTTTGGTGTTCCAGGTGTCCATGGGCGACACCGATTGCTTACCGTCAGGCTTATTAAAAAAATGTCTCTACTAAATTGTAATCTCGATGTAACTAAATTTAGTACCTACTTACACAAGATAATCACTTAAAATGTAAATCAAAGTACCTAGTACGTAGACATTCATAGCTCTTCCTAGGCACACTATCTATGATAGATGTCTACTACTAAGGATTAGGATGATGCGATAAAAAAATATCAGATTATCAGTCTAAGACAGACAACGCTCATCAAACTACAAACTGTCAACTTCAATCAATTTTCAACCTTAACACAAAATAATGAAGTACAAAAATTGTCTAACAATTTAGAGTAACTCAAAGTACTGATATACACAGTATATCTAGGTTCTTCAAACAACATCAATCTTATAAAGTAAGGATGAATGAACTTTGACAGGTGAATGAATGCTCAACTTAAAGGGGTGTCAAAGACATGATATATTAAACTGGTTCGTTCGTTCAATCCTGTGTTTGTTAAATTACCGGTTAGAAATGCCTGGAAGATATTAACAGAGAATACGAAACTGTTTGCAGAGCACCCATTTATTTACAAGGGTACTTACCTAAATTAATAAAACTTGAAGGTTCCAGTAATTACGATAGCACAAAATGCGGTGAATTAATCGTAAACCATGCAGAATTGCAGACCCTATGACCCAACGACCTGAGAATTCAACATCACATTAATCATCTCAGAAAATAAAATAAAATTATATAATAAGCACCTGATGAGCTTAATTTTGTTATTTTTTACACTATCAACAAAATTAAGGTTCATTTAATTGAAAAAGGCGGCCACTAAAAATAAAACAAACATTTTTGAATAGAGAACACGAGATTTAAATTCCATAGACATCATTATTTTGTTTTATAAAACAACTGGCTGTTTGAACCGTGTTGGATATCAACCTTCTTAGAACTTTTAAAACGTATACCTTTTTGATAGATGAAAAATATCTATAAGAACTTAATGGTGTCTGATATGCCTGATGATTGGATGACGTCAGACGACATTAGCTAATATTAACACTACAGTACACGCTTCATATTGAATACAAAAACAGCCCCGGTGGCAATGCATAAATTAAAGACCTCGTATTTTCAACCCACATCCAATACTTGGCATATACACGTGTTGATTTAATAGATAATGTATTTATTCAACGGAAAGTTTAACCTATGTTTCGGACTACTTAGACAAACAAATACAGGAAATGTGTGTCTAAAAACTCTGCGTGAACATCAGTAAACGCCGGTACGTCTTAAGGAGTTTGAATGGCCACTTGATCGGCGCAGCTGGACACCTCTAGTGCCCACATCCGCGTCACTTCATGACCATGTTCACTTTCTACCTACAACCGTAACGCCAAGATAATAAAATTGAAAGTGATACCGCTAGAGGCCAAATGAGATTCCCTCGTAGCAATTTTGTCAATGAACAAGTAAGATTTCGATTATTGAGTTCAACAAAATGAGATTTTAATGTAAACCAGGTTCGGTTTTATAAGATGCAAAAACGCGAGTCATTTTGCGGAGTAAATGCTTATATAAAGGCTATTTAATAGTAGTTGAGCAACGTTTGCATAAGTTATACAAGATAGCATCTATCAGGTGATTTGTATTGAGATCTTTAGATTTTCCATTAATTTGTTCGGGTCTACTTTATCAGTTAGAAAACAGCTTTCCACCAGGGAAGGCTCATGGACCTCACAGTGGTACCATTGAATGAATATCTGAAAGCATTATACGAATCAAAAATCTTATCTTAAATTCAAACCGCAATATATGTTGCGGCAACTAAATTAAGCCTGCGCTATCAAAGTCACACCGACTAAGTGCTATTAAATAAAATTTTACATCAATCAATTTAATGAGTTAAATTGCGCAGTAAGACTTTCGCGGACGGCCTTCTGACGGCAAGGCCGGCGACACCCAGGCTAGGCAGACCACTCCACATACCAATACATACTGCCTGTATAACATAATATATCTTACACATAGGCGTCTTAGATGTGCGATTTCACAAGAACTCTATGACGTGACTTAGTACACGATCATGTGCTTATGCTAACGGTGTAAAATAGACAACTTTATGCTTGAAACCATTCAGTTTTGAAATATACTCATTATACTAACGACACAGTATAATACCTAGTTATGCAAAAGCTCCTTTGTTAAAGAGACTAATGCCTTACTAACTAAAGACATTTCTCGGTTTAACACTTCCTATAAAATTAACTACACCGATAAATAATAATCAATAAAAAATCTGTTTGAGGCAAGTTTTGATGTAAATTCAAGGGCTCTTTGGAGATAATTGATATGCCCAAACCAATGTGGAAGCGGTTTAGCAAAGTGCCAAGCAACACCTGTGCAATATTAATTAAGCACATGTACTTAATTACGCACCTAAAACCTCTCGTTGTATTTGGTTATCAAATAAATTTGAACGTTTACATCTCAATAAGAACTTAAGCATATATATTTTGACCTTAAAATCAAAGCAAACAATTAATCTACCTTTATAATTGATTGCCTTTACGACGCGTGGAGACGATTCATTATTTTTATATTAAAAGGAAATTCGTTTAACTGATTATCTATCGAGTATAAATCATTCCACAATCAGGCAGACCACTAAGTTGATCAAGATATCCGTTCAGATGGAACAGTTTCCATTAAATTTCGCGCAAAGCCGCCTCTGGTTCGTTATCAATCAATTTATCTAGCTTTACTAGCAAACATGCCAGATTTGTTGACCCAGTACTCGCTCGACCGGTTTGAAGCTCTCAATGGACCGTAGGCCATTCAATGTTATTTAGATGTAGGTATATTATGCTGATCGGTAACCTCTATAGATTTTTTTAACTATTTAAATAAATTATCTTTTAATAAATTGACTGTACGATCTCCGACAACATTAAGTAGTCATGCAACGCAACGTTGATCTCCGGACCAAACTTTTCAATGTAACCTTCGCAGATAAGTTCCCAGTTCTTTGATATTTTTGAGAGTATCATCATAATGCTTTATTATATCATCACGCCATCGCTATGACGCAAGTAAGATAAGCTGTCATAAGAACACCGAGGTTACCGACAAGAGATACAGACGTTTGTTACCTTAATCAAGGTTTAAGGATTTATTTAATAGGTACCGATTTTTGCACGTATAGTGCCGTTGTGTTGTAATTTATCTTGTGTTATTTATTACTGTTTTTATCAACAGGCGGGTCTCTTGAGAACGGAGCATGGAGAATATTGGATTGAACCATCCAATCAAATACCGGCTGACAAGTCAGAACCAAGACCGCATGTTATATTCAAAAGATCTGCTGTCGATAAAGTAGCCGCGTGGCACAGAGCTAAGAGAGAAGTCGACACTAGAACCAGAAGCAATACTCAAATTAGAGATAATCGGGATAGAAATCCAAGGCAATATAACAACAACCAACGAACTCGAGCTAACGCTAGACGATATCGCGAAAACAAAGAAGCAATGGACAAGCGCAGACGAGAATATTTGGAACAAAGGCGAAGAAGAATGGAAATGATGAGGAAAAACCCAGCGGAATACAGAAGACATCAAAGCATGCTCCGCATGGAAGAAAGAAGATTACAGACAAACTCTAGAAGTCAGCCTAACTCTAGAAGTCAATCTAGTTCTTATGAGAACAGTAGATCATTAGATCAGGCGTCAATGAAATCGAGAAGAAGGAACCGCAATAGGTTGACAGAGGCACAGAGGATGCGCATCATAAGGAATAAGCAACGACGAAAAAGATCGAAAAATTGCGCCACGAAACAGCCAACGTACCTTTGGCGAAAACAGAACTTACTAAAATCAGAAGCAGCACGACACAATTACGATCACAGTAACAAGGTATGGATAAACTAAACATGTTTCTTACACGTTACATAACTTTGCGTAATTAATGTTGTTAGACCTATGATCTCTAATAGTGTTGCTCGTTCCGACCCCAATATTTGATTACTAAGTATTTACATCTGAAACAGCTACACAACTCTTTGACTTCAAATACAAGACTGCATTCATCGAATTCACGATTGCGTTCCTTGAAATTGGACAGAAATAGTACCAGCTAAAAGTAAATATCTGTTAATTGTAATTTTATGTTAACGTAAAAAGTTAAACTGTATGTTATTATAGATGCAGCACCATCCTCATTACCCGCATCATCACAATATGGCGCAGCGCACTCTGGATGGCGCAAGACGAAGCACACGCTCCGTGAGCAAGCCGCGCCACGTCGAAGTTTTATTAGTCGCCGACAAATCTATGACCGATTTCCACGACCAGGGCAGTTTGGAAACTTATCTGCTTACTATTATGAATATGGTACGTGTAAACAAAACTTCCGTGTTTGCTTTTTTGCTTGTACCAATACAATAAAAATAATCAAGTTATTATTAATTTCAATGTAAAAAACGAATCAAGTTCTTGAATTTATTTTAGACTGTAATAAATGTGCTCGTTGTCTAGGTATCGTCACTCTACATGGACCCTTCAATCGGTAATTACATAAAAGTGGTGGTTGTGAAGATTATCCTGGTGGAACAAATCGAGGCAGCCCCAGATCTAAAGGTAACGACGAACGCGGACATAACCCTGGCCTCGTTCTGTCGCTGGCAACACAAGCTGAACCCGGAGGGAGACAACAATCCTCACCACCACGATGTTGCCATTCTAGTAACCAGGAGAGACATCTGTAGCCAACACGACACTCCTTGTAGGTACGAACTGACTTTTTTTTAATATTTAATTTATGAAACTTTTTGTTTGCCTTCATACATCGTAGTAGATGTAAAAAACAAATACATACGTCCAACGAAACGCCAATCAGTCTACCGGTCACAGTGCACAAACGTCGCTAAGTACACTCGAACACTGGGGGCAACAGCATATTAGCATTTCTTTTTTACTGAACGTCGAGACAAGGTCAATGGCAGGAGCAGCCGTCTGTTAGCAAAGTAAACAGAATCGCGATGAGTAACCGACACAGAAATAGAACACTTTCTGATTTGAACGCCGACACCTGGATGTAGGTGTAAGCGTTTCTAAGAGTTTTACAGGGATTTCCACTCATTTACGTCACAACTATGATGCTCACATTAATCGAAACTGTTATGTGCAACATTCTTTCAAACGGCGGAAATGTTTACGTTTAAATAAATAAATATTCTCCACCACCAGTATTTTTGAACAGTAATAAATAGTGTGCAAACTCTGTATCGATCGAACATGTTTATAGAACATGCATTTTTTGCTTGAATCAAATACACGATGCAATCTGAATTATAAACATGTATTAAATCAAGTGTGCAAACTGAAGAGATCCAAACACGGCTGGCTTACATATGAAGGCTGTGTTTACATATTTTGACATACGCGCAAATAAATTCACCCAGTTACCGGGTGAATAAAGTAAAATTAGATTGTAATTGTAATTTAAATAAATCATAATTTTGTTGCATTTGGTTCGTGTCGGTAAGAGGCCGGGTGGTCGGGCACACGTGTTGCATAACGCTCGTGTTTAGTCTGTGCGGTATTTAGTTTGAACGTTTACTTTGTCGATATAATCCGCAGAACACTTCAACACTCAATCAAATCGGCACCGCCATGTCTGACCAAACACACTTGTCATAATATTCAAACATTTGTTCGTTATCTTCGCCTACTTTCATTGTGCACATTTCTATTTTTAAATAAGATAAAAAAGATAAAGATACGTTCACGCACATCGGTTGTTGCAATGATTTTTTCCTTTACGCAAATCGAGTTTCTAGAAAGATGCGATAGTGTACAGTTTGACATTGAACGATTGCAGTTTAAACAGATGGTGTGAAGTGGCTGTCTCTCAAGTGAAGTGTACTTAAGTGATTTAGTTAACTGTACTTAAGTTAGATGTGCAAACAGACTAATGATATTTAATAGAGTTTGCAAAAGATGATAATCACAACGTATTAGGCCTGTTCTTTAATGTCAAAGTAAATATATTTGTTTAAGATAGTTATTATCCACATGTTCATATGATATGATTATCATAAATATAATAAAATAGACTGGATACAAAACTCATTCAGTTAAAATATGAACCCAATACTTTAGTAGGTCCAAGAGGTAAAAAAATTACGAACACAGTTTAAAATAAATACTCACTGCATAAAATAAACACGTTTAAAGAATGCAACGGCAATTCATCAAGTTCACAGTTACGTGCAATGATTGATAAAAAACGTTGCCAAAACGTTGGAGCTCTCGACAAATTGCTGTTTACATCATTATCGGTTTTTTGCGTATATTTGCGAATCGCTAACGGCGATGTGCCGGCCCGAGTGGTCACATCAAAAACGCCGACATTAAGGCCAAGGATGTTGGGTGGCTACAAATTGGGCATTCATTATTTTAACAAAAGCCTATAACCATATAGCGTTATATAATTACAAGTACAATTTTTTTTGGACATGCGAACTTCTGTTGCACAAGCAGAGTTGTTACAGCCTGTAAATGGCACTGATTTCAACCGCAAACATGACTCGAAACTAATGGGTAACCGCTTCAATTAGTCTTCAATGTATTCTTTTAAATTAGCTTACAAATCGCATTGGTATCGAAATGCATGATTCAACAAGCGCGTGCACTCGAAAAAATATAAATTTTATTTTCGAAACTAATAAAATGTGGATCTTATTGGCAACATTGAGAAAAGAAATTAGGCGGCTTCTCATTGAGAGAGTAAGGTGTTAACAAATTACAATATTTTAGTTTGAACGAGACATAATGAGCGCATTGCAAGCATAGCTACTATGAATGAAGAAAAGCAGACGTCTTGTGTTACGTAACTTCCTACAGCAATGTTTAGAATCGGATGTTTTCCTTCACTTACATCCTCATTAATCTTTCAGTTTATATTTGTTTTCAAAGAGCGTTGCTAAACAATTAACTCTCGTATGAATTATAGTTTTTCATCTCAAAGTAATTATCGTGGCTCAATGTCACCGCAACTTACCTTTGCTAATGTCACGCACAGTGCAAGATTTGAACGTTCTTTTTCATAAAAACACGAGATTACGTAATTCCCGACGAGGAAAGCGGACGTTTGGTAGGAAATTTTACTTATTACTGTTATCACTGTACATTAGCCAAATAGATAACACTCAAGTACATAGAACGGTCAAACATGATGATGTTTGCCGTATCCGTACAGCTGAAATTAATTTACTGCGGAGATAATAACTAAGTTTTATTTCTGGGTATTTTGAGAAGATACCGAAAAACAACTGAAAACCAGAACGTTTCATAATGGAATTTTCTTTTGCGAAATTCGAATAATTTTCACACGTTCTTAACTACTTAAAGTACAGGTGGTTAATAAACGATGTTGTCCATTACACGACGTTGAAGCGCGGCGACAGCGGCTCTGAGTTGTTAACTACATTAATTCGTATCCAGATCACGCATGGCCAAAACCAGTGTGTAATGAATGCAATGAGGAAGCTCGCTGCGTTCGGTAAACGGTACAAACGAGTAGTCGAATGTTCTGAGAAGGCGGCAATCAAAACACAATCGTGGTAACGGTGTCGGTGCAAGCCCAGGGCGGTCCCACCACGCGCACACCCATACATTATGCACGACCGCATAAAAATCGCAATCATCAATACAACTATGAATTATATTAAACTTTTTACTTAACCCACGCCGACGTGCTTCCAATATAAATGCAATAAAACCTACGTATTTACATTAAATTGCATTACTACTGTTTTTATACGGCAGCCGGTCTACCTGTGTGATCATTTTAATAATCTCTCATAAAACTTTAGTTTTTATGATTGCTTAACATTGCAATAATTTTTAGTTTTACCTTCCTCTCTAATTGGTAGTTGGTTATAAATATGCATATATTATTTAATATTCATTTTGTATTCATAAACACGAAACTGTCATAAATTAACTAAATTGGAATCTAAACTTATAAAAATCTGCTCATGTGTATCGAGTATCGGCATATTAGTTCGTATCTATGTATGCGTGCATAGTTACGAGTTAGCACCTGTGTTATTTCAAGTGTAATTATTCGTACCACGGTTCAATGTTTAGTTAACTGCAGTTAAACCAGACGGGTGCTCTCATTACGCATAAGAGCTTCCTTAAACGTTATCATCTAATCTTCTTAGGTATTAATCTCCTGCATAATCGAAGTCGCATTTCTGATTCTGAGTAGCGGCGGTTGGACAAAGGGCGCTCGTTAAAAATAATGATCTCGGTTAATTTTAATTCGTAGTTGTGTCGTGTCGACGCCACGCAGTCTCGGGTGTCCGCGCGGTCGCCCGACGCTGCGCACGCTTATCTCTTCCGCTTCACGATCACTAATCTTATAATGTGCATACTTTAGATTAAAACACCTATTGATTGCCATAGATTATTGGAATCACCTTTTATGACGCATTTAGATCGATAAAGCAATAAATGATGTAAGATGGATGGATCAAACATCCTTCGATCGAGGCGAAAAACACATGTAATATAACCTGTCGATTATTTACGCAACTAAACATAAATCGGTATGATAAACAGAAAATACGTACTTATACTTTGACCCTATTCGATGCAATTATTGACCAAAATTGGTATTGTGGCCGAAAATGTATGAATTCACAATGCGACTTTCTCCTCCCGTTTGATCGAGCCGCCTGAAGCGAACTCAGCCGATGTCTTGTTCGCGTTCAATTAGCATTTTTACTTGTGATGGCAACCGGGTCATTCGGAGAGGTTGTGGGAGAATTTCGAGTCAGTTTCTTTATTAATTACATCTTAGAACAAATTGCATACATCGAAAACGGTGAACAAGAGACGTAAAGATAGCTCGACGTTTAGACCAAAATCATTTTCATGAAATAAACTAGGTATAGGTATTAGACTCTTAAAATTGAATCTAAAACATCGTTTCTATAATGCTTCATTTCAACGCTTATAATCATATATAAAAACCAACCTACAAAATTCAACACTATCTACAAAACAAGGAAAATGGTGTATCATAACCGAAAGTATCGCCCTCTGGTGATCGAACAACCAAACTTTAGCAGACTGCTAGACAGAAAGGCGCGTTGCGAATATTACGCACACATTGAAGCAGATATTTAGCACCTACTCGTTACCTTGTGACATAACAAAGAAGGTCGCGCTAGTAACCGAATGAAACCTTTTATGCCGATTGATAAATAACACTACATTTGGATGAAAAGAATAAATTATTATGTTTAAACTAGACAAAATGTTGCCTTATTGATTAAGTGGTCTTGCAAGTGTGACTACCAAGTATAGGGGCCTCGAGATCGCTGTACTGTCGAACAAGGTGCTATTTGACTTTACGATTTTACTACGAGCAAATAATTGGTTATCAATTTCGAAATTTTGCGCATAAGTCAGGATATGTGGCAATTATGCTTATTGGGTAGTTATATCGTAAGGCCTATTACAACAATGATGAGTCTATTATGAAATAAAGATCAGGTATAATACCAGACTCCATGTATTTTGTGACATTTCAAAACTGACAATCAAAATTTGATCATCTGAGCCCCATTTTCGACAGTGGCGCCACCGCCACTTGAAAATTTCTTTTATATAAAATGTCAAAAACATTTCCGTGTAACAAACGAGGCGCCTTTACACTGAAACCATTCTTTTAATATTTCATTAATTTCACGCTTACTTTAAAACAAGAAGAACAATTAACGAAGCGGTTTGATTTATGACTTTCTACGTAAAAGGTTAATATTAATCGAAGTTTTAACGTCATTAAAAGGTGATTACAAGTTATTGCGAATTGTATTACAGCGACGATAAAACGATCAGTTAATTTTATAGCTGTAAACTGTAAAGTTAGTGTATGGTGCCCTTATGGTGTTAATGTGGGTATTAATTACTTTATTCGGTTCCCGTTTTTAACCAATGCGGGTGATTTTTGCTAAAACTGTAAATTATTTTATTTGAATGTTATTGAAAAAGATAATTACTACAGAATTTTAGCCCTGACGGTATCTGCAAAAAGGTTCATATGATCGTGTTAATTGATACCAAGAAGAATAACTAATTTGTGCCTACCAGTCTTTGCATTAAATCCACGTTTAGCACTAGTGCAGGTTAATGATCGAAATTGTGCGTAAATAGTGACCGATTGTTGGCCCAACGTTCAACAACACTGCGGTGACCTAAATCCCAAATTGAACTTTTATAGCACGCACTGAGCGTTTATTAGGGATAGTCTAACGTTTTACAATGTACCCAGTAATTGGTCATATATCTGTTTATGATCCTCTTTAGTTATTCACCAACATTTTTTAAAAGTAAAATAATTTAAAAGTGATATTTGTTTACATTCTTTAAACCTTGGCATAACTAAATATGTCCTATACAAAAGACATCAACGCGTTCCAAAAATATTTAAATAATAATATATTTTTGCTATTATTCTTTTAAATATAAATATTAAATTGGGAACACGTGTCATATCAATTTTATCGATGTATGAATCAAAAAGAATAAATCTTCACAAAAATCACATTTACTTTAGTGTCGTGACATCTCGATAATAAATATCGATGTGTGAAATATTTTGATTAATCGAGTATCGTAAAGTTGATATGCCGTTATAAATAAACATATTAATGTTTAAATACGTTTACGTAGTATATGAGTGTATTGAATTTATTACAAGGAATTTATAGAGCTTTTCATCGGCTTCCGTGTGAGTCAGCGACGCACGTGTATTATTAGCCGGCTATTCCCGTACTAGCCGCCATCAAAGAATAAATAGACTCGCAGATATGACAGCGTTCCCTTTCTAACTATTGTAACGTAAATCGAATTTCGCTTTCATCGCCATTCATAAGTTTTTATTGTTACGCAACAACTTTTCTTTGACAACTTTCCGAAATTGTTACTGAAATCGATTGATTTACGTAACCGGAAGAAAATTACAAAGAAATCACTTTTACTTTTTTTTTACTATACTTTATAGTGTGTCTCGTCTCGTCTCGTCACGAGTTTGATAGAGGTGCGCCTGCGCATAGACATAAGGCCACGCCCACTATGTACCTGTGTAATTAGCAAGCAATTAGAAGTCGCGACTTGCATTCTTTATTAGTAGCTAATTCATATGTAAACCAATAATTATTTCCTTGTTTCCCGTGTGATAACTTTGCGTGATTACTTAAGTATGTGTTATACATAAATACTTGCTTAAATTATATTATCAGACAGCTTTAGAGAACTTAGTTATACACATAACTAACTAAACTACCTCGTTGGCCGAGTGATCGCAAGTGCGACTGCCGGGCAAAAGGTCCTGAGTTCGATTCCCGGGTCGGGCAAAGTATTACTGAGTTTTAAAACAAATCTCAGTAGTATCACGGAGTCTGGATTTTTGCCCGTTATAGGCTCACCCCTTATTACATGGGACTCATAACAGAAATAGTGAAAAGTGGGTGTTACTTGTAGTGACATTAAGTGCAGTAATGTGCACCTCTGCCTACCCCTTAAGGGTAAAAAGACGTGATGTTATGATATGTTATAACTAGCTACTTCAGCGCGACGTGATGTTTTAGCCATAGCTTAATAACCATTTCTCAATAAATGCTTTATCCAACACAAAAAGAATTATTCAAATCGGACCAGTAGTTCCCGAGATAAGCGCGTTCAAACAAACAAACAAGCAAACAAAAAAACAAACTCTTCAGCTTCATATAATAGTAGTACAAGATGTATAAATAATATCCCTTCGAATATTTATGTAACAGTTAACGACAGTTATGTTATTAAAAAATAATATTAAGGACACACAAAGAGTAACGGAGATAGACATGACATAGAAATTTAATACGTAGCCAATAGGCATATGAATTTATTTAATGTGACATTAATAACTTATTATAGGTTCTTTTTGGATTTTTTACGAATTTTAATGAAATAGTAGTTGTAATACCTAATACTTGGTAATTTTCTTTCTTTGGCTTATTAAATACCTACACATACATATAAATAAAATTGCAGTGTCTGATTGTAATATTAAAATAAGTACCTTTTACGTCATGCATATGAAAATACATACGATACCCATACTAACATGTTATTTTTACAATTTTTGTTGGTCTATTGTACTTGCTAATCTCTGGAATGGCTGGACCGATTTTGACAGGACTTTTATTGGCAGGCTGAAATTCATATTCTACGCAGATAAAGTCGCGGGCAACAGCACTAGCTTGATTACTAATTAAATATACACAGAAATATGTATTTTAAGTCTGTTAAATAATAGAGTTTAAAATCCTCCAGTTATTTCTAAAATAACTTAAGAAAATTCTCAATTTCCTAGACTTTACATTATCAATTAAATAAATAGAGAATTAGAAATCAATGTGTTCTGAAGTTATTTGTATGGGTGTTAGAGATATTAACTCGTGGAGATTACTGCTATAACAATATTGACTAATGAGTTACGGCCAATTAACGCAGGTTTTATTCCTAAGTAATAGTTTATTTATGTTAGAGAAAACTTTAAGTACTTAGCAACAGAGTACCTCCAATTTAAATACAATTATCAGATGATGACACCATCACAATATCTTTTTTTAAGGGGGGAAAATCATCGAATAACTGCTCCCGCCTGAGTGAGGCGGGAGGGATTGTCAAACTATTACTGACTAAAAACCACCCCGTTCCTTCTCCTGCACGTCGAGCCGGAGCCCCGGTAACCCGTTAGGTTCTCCGCGACACTATCACAATGTCTAGAGAAAAATATTATTATAAATATAATAACAAAATATAGCACCTCAGTGCAATGTCCCTTCCATAAATACAATAATGATTCTCAGTTGGTCCTGTATGTATGTATGTTTGTGCACAATTATCTCGCAATTGGCAAAACCGATTTTGACGCGGTTTTCAAAAACGTGTTTGTTACCTAGGAGAAGGTTTTTGGTATTATATTAATTAACCTACTTCAAAAAGGGTTGAAGTTGTTGTTTGTAAAAGAGTTATTATGTAATAGAACAAAACATTTTACATAAGTATTAAGTAATTAAAACATTGTTCTAGCTTGTCTCCTTAATCCTGGCTGTGTTTACATTTATGGAACACAAAAATATTTATTCCATGCTCAAATTAAAGTCACGATACGTTGCGCTGTGGCCACTCACCTAATCATTACACCATATAATGTATAACATAGTATATAAAATTACGTATCATACATGTATTATAAGTTTTATGTTTGTTGCAGCACGCTGGGAGTAGCACACGTGGCTGGGATGTGTAAGCCAGATCGCAGCTGTTCCGTCAATGAGGACAACGGCATCATGTTAGCGCACACCATCACACACGAATTGGGACATAAGTAAGTCTCTTCCCAATTTATTGCACCCATCTTTTGTCAAGTTTTTCATGAATTTTCTTCGCAAAAACATACATAAAAACGAATATCGAATATGGAGATTCAAGACCACTTTAGCAGGAAAATCAATTTGCATCTAAAGGTCCATTGCTGAAGAATGATTTGATACTTAGCAATGTATCCACGCAATATAAAAAATCCACAAGAAAAAAAAAATAAGCGATGAGCATTCCCAGTAATTAATACACATTTACTTAAATGTAATACCTATGTAATTAGATACAGATAAAGGATAAACGCAATTAAGTACGCGTTAATTATAATTACTCAACGATTATTTGCTTAATGAATTTCGTAATCGAAAATACCGAAATCTAATTAAATAAGAAGTGATGGCGAACTAATTCGCGAGATTTAATGATGTCATTGACACGGTAGTAATCAGCCATAGCTGTAGATTGTGTCATAAAAAGTGTACTTCTAATGAAATCCACTTGTATAAGACTATTTGTATTTTACCGAAATACTTGGGTATAACGATGACACATTGTTACTTGAATATGTGGTTTATTGGTCTAATGTCAGGTCTAAACAAGTTCGGTTATCTGACCTCAATAGATGCCTATGCAACTTTTAAGGTGAAACCTCGCACACTTCGGATTCGGACGATCCGACACGGGGAAGCTTTCATGAGATTTCATATGCAGAATTCTAAAATTTGTTTCATTCTACACTTTCGACGCGTTCGGTGCGTTTAAATGTGCGTCCAATTTTACTAAGAATTTCGAAAAAGCCTGCTAATTAGATATAATCTCTTTCTTTTTATTAATTTCCGAGATATTAGCTAGGTGCATGTGATCATAGTTGTACATAAGATCATCCAACTCTAACTTGGTCTTTGTAAGCAAGTGTTATAAAATAATTTTATGTCAAAATAAAACTTATAAATATAAACATTGCGAAAAAAAATATAAGAAAACACTACCTACTATCTTCAAATACTTTACTTTTATCTAAACCCATATTTTTAATTGAACGACTCTATAAATCTATTTGAATCGTAAATGCATCGTTATATTTTTTCTTGCAATTTTCCGAGAATCGCGATTATTTCGGCAACTGTCCAGTGTAGTCTAGAAAAAATCGAATGCGTCCAATTACTGTTAGTTGGCAGGTCGCATTCATTAACTAATGTTTTGTGGTTAAATTATTTTATCTTCATCGCAATTTATCTAATTCTATTTGCGAGAAGAAACATGGAATTTGCGGTTTTTCTCGCTAAGAAGTTTGAACTTAGAATTGTAAATGAGGTATCATTTGTTAGCACTTTTTATAAAGTACTAACACAGTTTTCGGATGATCTAAAAATTCCCACATACGCATTCGATAGGTAACTTTTTGACAGTTTTTTAGTCTCTGTACTAAGTATAATTTATTATCTGGCAGCATGTTCTATCATTATCACTCACGACATGATTAGTTAAACTTAAAACAAGATTTCCAGGAGTTAGCTGGAAATCTCTCGACAGAGCGTTGTTTAAAAACATTGATTGCACGACCTTGATTCACAATTACAGCTTATATTTAGATTACAATGTGATTAATTTTCTGTAAAACTTTTCGATTAGATGACTCACCCATCGTACTATTGGACTGGAAATATTAATCGCAATGTAAACACACGGGTTATATAACACATAATGTACAGCTAGCGCAGTTACTGATTGGATACCCACTCCCGAAATAGATGTCTACGGTCCTTCATAAGTTCGCCATCGATGTACTGAACGTTTTACATCCCATAAAGAATTTAATATCGAATGAGATACGAAAAATGATTTAAAGCATAGCTAAGATTTATGTTAACAGCGTAACATTATCATATCCTTAGTAGTTTCCATACAATCGACTGACGGTACCCACGTCTCATAAAATGCCAATCGCCACTAATAAATCCTCATATCATTTGTAGGTTTACGGGGTCTCGAGGAAATTTTTATTATGATTTATTGATACTCTCACCAATCAAGCTTTTTATAACCCATTACTGATTCTACATAAACATCTTCCGTTTAGTATAAGTGGCCACATCAAAACGACATATTTCAATTGCATTTTGCAGTATATTACAAATCCGACCTAGATAAATTGACTACACGTTTATTACTACAATTATAAAATTATAATTTATTACTTGCTTCAACTGAGCTTACTTTATGTGCGGTAAATACAATCCGTCTGTTTTTTCTTATGTTCATATTTTTACTCAACCTCCTTTGAAACAGTCGGCAAAGATGATAAAGCTTGCTCAAACATCTTCGTTTATACGATTTAGTTAATAATAACAACTTTTCCTTATATACCTGGCTAGATCGCGAATCATTTCAGCGCCACATCAAACGATTGACTTATTCTAAAATAAACAAATCAGTACCAATGTATTATCAATTCTCGGGCGCCACACACTCTTTAAAGTATATTTTAAAATTATTTCAGAACAACCATGCGTAATATTGTTTGTATGATTTTGGAAATAAGTGCTAGTTTTATTTGGCAACGGTTGCCGAGTGCTTCGGTTATCGGGACTGAGTCATGTTTCTGAGCCGAGATTACCGCAAGGACGTTGCTTTCGAGATAGAAAATTGTGGAACACTTACATTGCACCCGTCATTAAGTGAACGTGTAATTGTAGTACTTAGTACAAACATGGCGTTGTCACTAGTATTAGACAACGCCTACAATCATAATACAAACATTGGTTATGTAATGTGCAAACAGCGCGAGTCAGCCATTGACCTTCTTGTAGACATGAATGCATCATTCGCCGCGTACAATGCACCCGGTGCATTGACGCCGCACTATCGGGCCACACAAGTTCATTATTTTTCAGAGCGTTATCTTGAATAAAGAATAAGGGGTTTAATAATAAATTAAACAATTTGCAGGCGACAGACAAGCTATGCGGGTCGCGAGCGCGACTCTTGACATTTACGTTCATGTAGTGTGCAACGAACATGATGGGCACTCACAATCGGATTTTATCGCTCGAATGTGAAATCAAATCGTTTCACTTATACAAATACAGATTTAGATTAACATTAGCCATTATATTATTTTAATCCAAACCAGTCGCGGCGCATCTTGATAAAATTAATTGCGAATATATTTTTCCTCCTACCAAAATACTGAATTAACAAGTTCGTAACCTCGCGTGCCGACACTTCCGGAGTTTCAATTCGTCTGGCTAAGAAGCAATTAAATTGATATTTTTACATTCAAATAGATCCGTTTCGCTTTTTTTTATTACGGACAGGTTTATTATTATATTTTTATTTTGACACAAAGTTTTTTTGCATTGGGTTTACGAGTGTTGAAGTGAAAATCTATCTCAAGTGGTGGATAGAAGCGAAACGTCCATTGATACATTTTGGGTTTATGCCAATATATTTTCGATACACATTCGCGATGTCTAAGCGTGTAACTGACAGTGTGCCGTGATAGACAGAGACCAGATTATAATAGTGGGATCCAGTGCCAAATATCACGGAGACTGACTGACTGACCCACTGTTTTGTCTAGCCGTATTGAGTCTGGGTTATGAATAGACCGTCCCATCCTTTTATTTAATATCGTGTCACACTTCAACTTATACATAACACGTAGTATTTCTGATCCAAATTACAAAGTGTTTATTTACAACACGAACGTAATATTTATTTATAACTTACAGTAGAGACAACTAATCTGGCCATAAACTCCGACTACTGAATGTCATATCTTTACCGAACATTATCATTTAAAACAATCAAATGCCCAATATTATGGGGATTATTGCCTATCAATATTTTATCCACAGATTATTATGCTATTATTAATAATCATAAATTAATATTTTTATATAGATTACATGACAATTTTAACCATATTTTTTCCTCGTCCTTGTTTAAAAGACTAATGTTCATTCATGTGAATATAAAACATCTGAATATCGAGTGAGCTGCGCGACGTCGCCGCGACCGCGCACGCTGCTCATGAGGAAGAACCCCTCTGTGGTTCGAAACTAGTAGAGCTTTTCTCAGTATATTCACGTGAGTAACCCGCGTTTTTACTTAAACTGTCAAACACCAAGCGGTCACCGGTGACCGCAACCTATTGTTCTATAATTGTGTCTACAAAACCGGTACTCGACGAGTTAATCTGAATATAGGCATCAGCAATCCACCAATAGAAACTTCAAACAGACTAAAGACAAAAATTAAAAACTAGACCATAAAATCAATTAAAATTTGATAGAAACTTCATATAAGTAATGTCAAAAATCGATCTTAATCTAAATACTTTCAATAGAGATCCGTTTATTGATTTCGGTCGTATGTCGAAAACCGTATACCGATTCATTAATAACGCTGTAATCATAATACTGCATGTTTACAATAATAAATAGGTAATAATTCCAAGAATATACGAGATAGACTTAACAGATTAATTTTATGATTTATTATTGTTAGTTTACTCGTCATTAACGAGGATACGTCATAATAATTATACAACATTATTTATAACGAACCAGATAACCTAACCTAACCTATAACATTTAACCGTAACCTGAAACCTTTCAGTGAACTCACTGCTGGCAATAACAATTAACTATTTCCGTTTTTCCAACACTTAGACACTAAACAAGCATGCTTCATTAAATAAACTCGTTTTAAAAACGTATTTTTTAGAAATACAAAGAAAAGAAAAAGATTAACGAACTCCTATAGACTTTGCGCGGGAAAAATACAGATAATATCACCTACGTTCTTTTTTTTTCTTTGAAGCTGAATGCAAATTTATTTATTGTCTACTTCCATCAACGTTATTTGTTTAGTTGACAGCGTAGCTCGTTAATAAGATAATTTTGACTTCAAAAACGTTCTAACTTTGTCCATGAGTGCAGAAAAAAATCAAGATAACGTTAATTCACACTTGAGTTTTCACATCTCAGGGCTTGCGTATTGACAAACACATTGCGCAGTAGTCATTCATAGACAAAACGTAAACGTCAACCATACATGTCACTCCTGTTATATAAACGTCGCAGATTTTCTTGAAATATTATGTAAGCAACACGTTTAATGTCGCATGTTAGGCAAGGTCTGGTAGTGTCATTATAATGACTTTACGATCAGCTGTTGTAGCCGTGCCTTTACAGGAGCGCCACCGTTCTTGCAATGAGATAACGATTACGAGCGATGCTAATAGAGCTATTAAGATTAACATGTTGCTACACGGCCGATAAACGTCATTATCGTTGCATTAATAAAGCTACATGAATGATATATAATGCATAGATGATCCATCTGGTCGTATCGATAATAACTACTAACTTAAATTAATGGCTAATACTATTTAAAGATGGCGATTTCATCATTATGGTGCAATATACCTATTTATTCCATCTTAATCTATAAGGTTTCTGCCGCTAGTATTTACATAAATATACACTTATTGACAGATCGGGTCAAAACATTTAAAAAATAAATAAATTATACATATTACCTAAACGTATTAACTTTTAAAATGTTAATGAACTTAGTATTAAAGTTAATTTCGAAAAATATTCTACTAGAGATTCATAGGAGATAAAATAACTGTTGTCTAAAGAAAATATGAAAATTCTGTTGTTGAAAGCTGAATAGGTTTTTACTACATTCTTCCTAGTATGCAAAATGGACTTTAGATAATGAACACGCCTTTATAAGTAACGGACTATGCAAAATTGTAGATACTGTCTGTCAATCCAAGTGAGCACTTCTTGAAGAGCTTAATCTTGTAAGGAGACTATTCTAGAATAATTTTGCCATTGTACCGTATGGACAAGATATAGGTCTGATACTTGTTTTCTCCATATTTACATGATTGTTAAGCTACCTCTATAATACTTTAAAATTTTAAGTGCGTGAATCGTTGTTACTCGATTACATCAAAAAGACTCAACAACGCAATGATTTTAGTCAGTTTGTCAGGAAAAAGTAAAATGTACGATTTCATCGCGTATAGAAAAGCTAACGTCACGTCATTTATAAGTATATGTTTCTTTGTTTTAATCTTTTTTCTGTTGTTTTGTTCACAGTTTCGGTTTATACCATGACACTGAGAAAATAGGCTGCCATCGACGTGAAGGTTCGACGCTGCACATCATGACGCCAATCTTTGAATCCGACACCGTTCAGGTGGCCTGGTCGAGGTGCAGCAAACGTGACGTCACCAACTTTTTAGAGTAAGTCATTGATACATCGATAAATATGAGATAAATAGATATTTGTTTAGGTCAAAGTTTCAAATCATCTTTAGTATTAAGTACCCATTAATCATAATCAAATGAAGTATTTCTTAAGTATTATAAACTCTGTTCAAAGAACCGCAACAATGTTCGAACACTTATTTGTTATATTTATGGCACCTAAGCTAACGAGTTTGTACCGTTTTACTTTAAAGGTACTTACTTTTCCTTATTACATTGACTCATTCGACACCGTCTTTAGTGTAAATTGCGAAAAGCTTTTAAGTCTTTTCGTTTATTTATTTTACTTCATAACCGTTAAATAGGCGCTGATCATAATACACGCTCATTATGTACTGTGTGGCTACCTTATTTACTGAATGGTCACGCCTTTTCCGTAGTGGGCTCATTGAGTATTTCTATACTCATTGTGTCTACCGCAAATTCAACATAATTCAATCCGACATTTGCACATGAAAGTGACTCGTCTTTGCATAATACCGTCATTACTAGCACACTATATAAAATGTTTTATAGTCCCAATAAAATTGAAAGCAGAAATCCTACGCAGACATAAATAACGATCGAAATCTAATTGGACGCGGACGTTGTTATGTTGGAACTCGAAAAACTAATTATTAAATGTCGCAACGGATTCTATCAGTTAAAATGTCATGAGATATTCATTCTAACACGCGCCCAACTTATTTGTCATCATCAGAAAGGCTAATCACCATAAAGATTCAAATTATGGCACTTCTATAATGAATTAAATAAGTATTCCGTGATGAATATAATTATAAACGGAGGCTGTTAAAAAATTGATGGTTCTGAATGTGACATGTTTATTGCACGTCGACGTCTGCCAAGGACCGGGCGCTTGTGAAACCGGCGCATGCGTTTATAGAGCCACATTCGCTATTCGTACGCACAAATCATTGTAAAATGTGTAAACGCGCTCGTAATTGTGCGAAATGTTCTGAAATGGATCCAGTAGGCGCGGCCGCAGTTCTGCTTCAGCTGTTATTTGCTCGACTACGTAGAAAACGTATTGTACTACAATTTTATGGTCGATTATTTCCTAATCCAGCTCAAATGAACTCAACTCTGAATATAGTTCAACGGTTTTACACGTCTCTAATTTAATAAAACTTATATTAAAACTTATATTTTTATTACAAAAAATAAATGCAATATTTGATTTATTTTCATTTACAAAAATGTGTGGTTTGTTTCAGTGCGGGATTGGGCGAATGCCTAAGCGATCGGCCTGCTCAAGAGCCATCATATGTTTACCCCAAAGATCCTGCCGGTAAGCCTTCACTTCCTTTGTGGTTAAACTTTAAAGGTAAATATTTATCTTCATATTTTATTTACTGTTATTTCCGTGTTCAGGTGTAACGTTCGACGCGGCAAGTCAATGCCATTTACAGTTCGGTGCGGAAGCTGTCGTGTGTGCGAAGCCAACAGAGTTGTGTGAACATCTGTGGTGCCTAGTGAACAACACGTGCAAGACTATGCTGCGCCCCGCCGCGCCAGGAACCACTTGTGGACCCGATATGGTGAGACGATTAGACACGCAGGAAACTCTTTGAAGTTTTTCTACTGACGGCCATTTTAAAGAGTGGGTTTTTAGCTTGCTTCTTGGGGTTTTACAGTACTTAGAATCAAATCATCCAAGAAAATCTGAAGTGGTCATATTCTATTAATATTACAAGTAAATGATATAATAAATCTCGGAACATCTTAGGATTTAGGCCACTTCAAAATGATTGAGATCGCGCCTATGATGATCAATGTGCCAAATAATCTACACACGAATTTTTTGCAATACGTTTCTTATGAAGTCTCTAACAGCTCTTTATATGTCTCAGTGGTGTCAAAACCAGACCTGCGTTCCTCGTACTCCGTCACCGAAACCTCGAAACGGCGAATGGGGCCCATGGTCTGAATGGAGCGAATGTTCTCGAACGTGTGGCGCCGGGGTGTCCACACAGTCGCGCGAGTGCAACAACCCAGAACCCAACAACAATGGCAACTACTGTATTGGAGATAGAAGCCGGTGAGTTTCTACTAATGACTGCTATTCAGCTTTACTGTTTTAAACTACTTCTTTTCTAGGCCTTTGTCTAAAAGTCTATTTTTAGTTTAACACATTATCTATGTAGGTTAGACTGAAGATCGGAGCAGAAGACGGTCTTTATAGAAGTATTTTAATAAAAAGAGTTTATTAAGTTCAGGATGCATTATTACATCTACATATTTTGGTATATATCAGATTACTTATCTATTCTACTTTTACAGATACAAGGTCTGCAACACCGACCCCTGTCCTATCAACGAGCCTTCGTTCAGAGAAGTGCAGTGCTCCAAACATAACAATATGACGTATGGAAACGAAACTATAACCGAGTGGATACCTTACTACGATCAGGGTAAGTAAACCAGAGACATAAACATTTTATATGGACTTTCTTAAGAATAAGATTAGTAATTGACGATATGAAACTCATTTCTGTATCAATGCGTATCATGGATGCTAAAATTGAAAATCTAGCAATGATACAGGAAATATCACAATAAAATTTTATGGTTACAATCACGAGGCCACCAATATTGGATCGAAATAAAGAGCAAGTTGTTAAACTGCACTAAAATATTGCCATAAATAAGAGACTATTAAATTGAATGTTGAATGCAGATATAAAGTTAATGGTGTGTTGTTACAGACAAACCTTGCGAACTACAATGCGTGCCTCGCGACGGCAGCGATGTGGAAATGTTAGGCGGGTTCGTCGCCGACGGCACTCCTTGTAGACAAAGCTTGGGGGCGCGGGACATGTGTATAGCCGGTAAGGACAGCACAATTATACCAGTTCCATTATACATTACATCACTACTATAGAATTGATCTAGCTAATATTTTCATTATAGTTAAGACTGTCATGAAAATAACTGTGCTTAAAGCCAGTATCATCATCAGGACTAACATCAATTGCTCCTAATATTATGTATTTAAGATAAAAACGAACTGGTAAAAATTAATACATTTATGGAACGACAGTACAACTTAATATATAATAATAATAAATCATTTATTTCAAGTAACCAAGACTCACAAAATGTTAGTAAAACTTACATCTATGTTAGTAATCACAATTGTTTTATAGTACAATAAAATTTTAATAGAGCGCCTAACACAGGGGATGACCCTCATATATTGGGTTCCAGCAACTCCAACTTATATTTTCAGTCATTTATATCATAGAACTTTAATATATTTTCTTAACGGCCAATCTGGCGGTAATACGCGCCTCAAGTGTTGTATAAAACCGTCACAAAACAGCAATTAGGGCGCTGAACCGATTAAGACCCTTAATCGCACAAACGTGCTCAGCGGTACAGCTATAAAACCTATACTAATCCAGCCGTTTCGAAATCTTATAATGATGTCTATTGTTTTGGTCACTATAGACCTCATGATAGATTTAACATCATTTCAAAAATTTATCTTATTTCGCAGGTGTATGCTACAAAGTAGGTTGTGACTGGATAGTGGGATCGGAAACCGAAGAAGACAAATGTGGAGTTTGTGGCGGCAATGGATCGGCCTGCAAAACTGTACAGGGCATTTACAGCAAGGGAACTACCAGACAATCTGGACTTAGCGAAGTAAGTATAAAAAGATTGCGGAGTAATATTAGCTGTTTTACCAGTTTAATGTCTTATCATCAACGAAGTATCCCATTAATATTAGTAACTGCCTTAAGATCTTACCTACAAACCTACTCATTAGAGACCCATAACTGTGAAGTTGTCAAACAGATACTAATCAATTCCCTATCAACAGGTTGCAGTCATACCTGCCGGGTCAAGGAATGTGAAAATAGAAGAGAAAGTCAATCCAGGCAATTACATATCCATTGGAAGCGCGAAGTCCAATAAAATATACCTCACCGGAGCGAGGTAAGACAAGCAAATTAACGCAAGAAAACGTTTCTGTAAATTCCCAGTGTCCGCCATTTTCCTAACCTACAAATTTTATTACAGAAATGCAACTTTGACGGAATACTTTGTAGCTGGAACTCAAGCTATTTACGAACGAGACCGTGATTGGGAGAAAGTACGGATCGTAGGTCCGCTCGCAGAAGACATCAAAGTTTATGTAAGTGAAATAGTACAATAACATTTTATGAGTAACAAAGAGCATGCATTATGGTAATTTGTATTGTTATGTGTTCAATTCACCGTACAACACTGAACAGATATCGTGAAATCGATATTTAGGGGCGACAGGTTCCTTTCACCTACATTGATATGCTGTAAATAAAATACATACCAATGCTGCATATAGTTTCCTACTTCACTTACCAAAACATTCTAACTCTTATGTATATTATTATTAAATCGTATTTATATTTGCAGCAAAGAATATACCGCGGCAGGCATCGTAACCCTGGTGTGACGTACCAGTACACAGTGGACCAGCGCGTCCGTCGCCGGTACAAGTACCGCGTCTCTGAGTGGTCGGCTTGTTCTGTCACCTGTGGCGTTGGCTATATGAGGAGACATCACGAATGCGTTGATGAAAATAATCGTAAGCTGCAATCTCTGTCTTTCTGTCTCTCTAGATCTTTTCTAATGGGATTTTCTGTATCTCTACTATGCAGAATGATATGCTCAAAATATCTGTACCGAACCCAACTGTATCAGAGGATTTAGCTTCTGATAATTTATCTTAATATGACAACCGAAAATAATGGTTACTGAAGCGCGACGGCAATTTTATATTAGTAAACAAAGTTACTTACCTTTGTGTAAATCCCACAGGTGCAGTAGAACAGTCCATGTGTTACCACATCGAGTCGCCGCGCCACGAGGCCCTGATGCAGCAGTGTAGGCAGCCGGCCTGCCCCACTCAGCGAACACTTCACACACACTGGTGGGTGGGTGCTTGGAACCCGTGCTCCAAACCCTGTCACATGCCGGTATGTATCTGCGACACTTAACACACAATATATTTCAGTCTTAGAAATCCGCATTATTCACAAAAGTTCACGAAATACACAAATAATGTACAGATAATAACAAATTATTAAATTATTGAAACCTAGGTAGGTACGCAATAATTTAAGTGACAAAAGAGATATCATTGCAACCTATTTTACATGAGTGCATAGAAGGAAGAAATAAAATACAAAAGCGCCCCAAGCGGAAACTTGTGTAAACTGGAAAAATATCACGACATTAAGCTCTATATTTTTGTAACACATTATTATTTTTTTACATTACAAGTACGACATGCCATAAATTCTTTTACTCACTTAACACATACTTTGTTACAGGGCGAAGAAGCAATAAAACAGCGCGGCGTGTACTGCGTGGATAAAATAACAAACAAAGTGATAGACGACTCTGAATGCGACGTACTTACGAAACCAGTGAGCACAATCAAATGTGCAGACGTACCGGCTTGCTAATGGTGAAGATATCACGCACACATGGAATTGAATCCATAAGGAAACATCGATCAGTGATTTTATGATACACAATCATATTACACAGAGAAAAGTTTCAAGCATAGTGTTCACAACACTACGTCTCGTCGACACCCCGGGCGACAACTCATACCTGCTCAGTCAGGACAGCAGACTATTCGCATCTGCCACCATTGAGCGAAATAGGGTTCAGAAAGGAACGCAGAAATATGATACCGAGACAAATGCATTTTTATAGGCAATGGTTGAAGTGAGACGTGAAGTGATAAAAGTCAGTGTAGGACTCTATCGAGCGACACTCGAATTGCGGAGGTGTGAGTGACTGAGCGCCAGTGTTTTGTACTTGTTACATATTCTTTGCAATATGACATAACCCATCGAATAGACATTTAATCAGTTACGTGTAAGTACTCGAATAGTACCCGAACGTGGTGACGTGCGAATCTCGCGAGTACATTCAACAATGCTCTGCAATTACCACTTACTGCCATATTATAAGTAATTAGTTAAACATAGTCTCTGTTTAGTTATTAACTACTAATAAATAATATTTTATATTCTGTAACATCAGTATTAAAGTGGTGTATGTATTTCTATAAAATAATGCAAATTAACGTAATGTGAACGAGTATAAGTATATTATAAAAAATTTTGGACCAAAAATATTTTAGAAATCAAATTCACGTTGCCATAATCATTTTTACTGCCAATATGACACTTGTATGATATAAGTAGGTATATACATAGGTCGTGTAATGTTATGTATTAATGGATGATTCATATTTTTGTACAAATGAATTATTGAGTATTGTGTTGTATTTAAATGGTATAATTATAATATAAACGTACACATTGTCACGCTGGGTATCCAGAGCTGGAATCTGATCGCTTCTATTGCATACCTATAGACAATAAATAAATCAGCTAGTCAACAACTTAGGCATTTGTACACCAGGCTTTACACAGTTGTATTGTGTTTACATCCATATATCATTCGAATAACATAGAGTAGCACTAGAATGTAGAACTGTAGACCGTCTTACACTATGGACTAAGTACCTTTATATTAATTAGAAACGTACGTAAGGTTAACTTGTAAACATGTTTCCTCTCAAATAATTTGTGTGTATAAAAATATGGACTAAGTATATACAATTGTGCCTAATTCTGGAACAAATGTTTCGGTAATATTTATGAATATTTAAGAAGCATTGTTTATGTTCTCCTTTATGTGACTATGCATAATTTTAAATATTAGTAATACATTTATTTATCACGTAATTATTTTAAGTATATTAATATCAATGTGAAAAGTTTCCAGTCAACTGATGTTTCAGTTCTAAGATGCATCAGGGGCGCGTCGATCGATTGATACACAATTCTAATTTTGTAATGTTTAAACCGCTTTAGAGAACTAACCTATGTGCACAGATTACTTATTAAATCAACTGTTTACTTTTTTACTATTGATTGTAGGAAAATATTGTATTGTTCTATTTTACCAATTACAATTGTGTATGTAATAGATATGGCAATAAAATCGTGCATTGTTTTAAATATGTTTTTATTTTTGTTAATACAAAACTTATAACTTCTAATTCAATAATCCCAGCTAAAAATATAAATCACAGTTATAAAATATAGGCGAAATTAACTCTGGTCTTGCACCATGAATAATATTTTGAAAATTAAAACATAAAATCACATTTTGAAATTGAGTATCAGAAACGGAGCCAATCACATTTGAAAGACTAGTAGATAGAGAAAATACTTCAAAGTACTTACACATAAAAAATCAAGTGTTCATAGAGAACTAGCTAATAATAGGAATATAAATCATACAAATCAATCAATAAAAATATAGGAATACAAGCAAAAATAATATAGCTTATTTAACATTACACGGAATTATTTTGTGATAATATCATTCGAGTCAAAATTTATGGCGACGAGGTGAGGATAGAGAAAAAAAATAAACTGTATCTTACAAATGGAAAAATTATGAACCTTATTTTGTCGAACTTTGGTATCAATATACCAAGTTGGATACTGGATGCCTATAGCCAATAGGTGATTATCAGAAATTTTAAGGAGGAACAAGGGGTATCAAGCGAGGGTTATGTCCAGTAGTGCGTCCACTGCCATCAGTCACGAAACATATCTTGTAGATGACATTATAATATTTTTTATGGAATAAGCCGGTAACCGAGTAGTACAGGATCACCTGCTGGTAAGCAATCGGCGCCACCTATGGACACCCGATTACCAAAGGCGTAACAAGTGCGTTATCGGCCTTTTGGGGAATAGGAATTTGAGGATTATTGGGGATTCGGGGTTGGGGAGATTTGGGAAGGGGGTAATTAGGCCTTCGGTAAGCTCACTCACACGACGAAACACAGCACAAGTGTTGTTTGTTTCACGTCGGTTTTCTGTGAGGTCGTGGTATCACTCTGGTCGAGCCGGCCTATTCGTGCCGAAGCATGGCGCTCCCACACTTGTATGATGAGGCATAACAGGCCCGGTATGAAATTAATCGTTTAGTCAGATCTACACATCGCAACTGCTAATAAATTTTAACTCGAATGTACTAGAAACTTAACAGCTAAGCGATACATGAGCAGTCTAACTAATTACACGTACTAAAGATAAGTCTGAGCTACGACAAACATCTATTTACGTACAACGTACACCAATGCGATTATGAAACAAATACTTCAAATATGTGTAACCGAATCTACAATGCTTATCGCAGAATCAAAATTTTACATAGTGTACAGAAGCTGGTCAACCTTTAATTTGTCAAATTTCTTTTAATAGATAACTTAAGATCTCACTTCAGTCCGCCATTGTATGATATTTGTACGAAAACTGTTAATTAAATAAAAAGAAGTCATCTTTATCGCAAAAGATGCGCCTTCGCGATAATTAATAGGTATAGCATTAAATATCGTCCTGACAAGTTATAATATCTACTAATATCATACTCCCTTAGTACTTGTAACTAATATCAAGTAACATAAAATGAGTTTTTTCCCCTTCATAATTCTAGAATTCTCAAAATCCGAAAATATTCAATAACTTTCCACAAGACCCCTTGCAACTTAATCGTTCTGTAACAAAGATGAGAATCTATTGAAAAACTTCATGTCGATCAAAATAATAACCCTCTTTTCACTTTACCCAGACAATAAGAGATACAATACAGAATAGAAACAGACTTCTATTACAAATCATAGAGTCAAAAATCGATAGAATAATTTTAGAGACTTCTATAAAATCTTAAAACAAAGTTTATTACAAATCAATAGCGTCGAAAATCGATTAAAGAAATTTGACGAATCAGAGTTGGTGTGTGGTATAGAAGCAGAACAATACATATACATAAAATGTGGCTGCCTTCACAGTACCGCGTAAAAATATTTTTATTCACATAAATTGACATTTCTTAAAATAACGGTGATCATTATTTGAGTATTCTTTACTTTTAACCTATACACCTAGAGTAGGTACGAAAAACATACATACTAACATAATAATTATGTTTTTTTTATAAAACAAAGTCATACATATGTCAAAAGGATATGATACTAGCATAATCCAAATACCTAATCTTAAACTATAATACAAATAATAAAAATCTCACAGATCTTTTTCCGTTTATTTCGGTTTTTATAACATTTAAATTTTATTAAAAATACGTATAAATCTTTTGATTAACCTGTACCGGAACTCGAATCTTTTACTAGTAAAGCTTCTGACGAAACATCGAAACGAATGTTTTTCTTTTTTGTGGTATTTTTCTGTAAGAGAACAAATAAAAGGTTCAGACCATAACCTGGAATGAAAATAACACGTTTGTCGCGATGCCGTAACTGGTTTTACATTTTCTGCGAATCGAATATAGTAATTTTGGCTGAAATAGAATAGCTGTAACTGTTAAAAATATACCCCATGGTTTGACACTAGCTAAGAATTTATTGGACTTCAGCGTCATTTAGTCAGCAAATAACCGTAGTCGCTCAATATACTCGAATTAACCTTACCTTGTCTTTATGGGCTCTAGGGTCAGTATTCTTGGAGCGTTCCTTCTCCAGGTCTGTGTGTAGCGTAGCCAGCTCTGCAGTCAGCTCGGCCTGCACCGACCGCAGTCGCTCCACCTCTATTAACACTTCTGCTTTGTCTTTCACTGGAATTCATAATAATATGTATTTTAATCCCCGAACAAGAATTGAACAGAAGAATTAAAAATTAAGTATGATCTTAACAAGCATTTGTAATTTTCACAACTTTAACTTATACACCTTGAGAAAGCTTTATGACTTAAATTCCTAATTAGTACTAAGGCTCATTTAAAATAGGTTACTTAAAGTAATAGACAAACTACAGCTGTTTTTTATCGTATAATAACAACTGAAGGACGGCAAGGACCCAAGTACCAAACTCTCCAGTGGCGCCATCTACTAAGACTAAAAACGATGCTTACCATAAACACAAACTCCTAAAATTGATCACGATTTGCATCAATTCCATGAATGATAAGAATTATTAATCTACTGAAAACAATGCAACAATCGTTATCATATCATCCATAGAACGTTTACTGCTGAACATAGGCCTCCCCCAATGATTTCCAGATAGGCCGGGTAGAAGCGACCTGCGACGTCAATCAGGTAGTCTGTCCACCTTGCGGGTGGACATCCTACGCTGCGCTTGTCAGTAAGTTGAAGTAGCAGTGGGCAGGGCCTATAGCGCGGAGCGCCGACGGGCGCTGGGGCAGAAAGGTTCTCGAATGCAAAAACAACAAATATTTAAAAACTTACTCTCTCCTTGTCCAAGTATATTACACAGCTTCTTATTTCTGGATTTCACCGTGTAAAGTTCATGTTTGAGGTTTACAACCTCTTCCTTCAGTGTTGCTATCTCCTGGTCCTTTCTCTCCAATGCGTCAGTAAATTGTAATCTGGTAATAACTTCATTACTAATTGGAGGCGGTACCCTGGGCTTGTCAACGACTTTTTCCTTCAAAAGTTCTTTCTTAGTCTCAGCTTTAACTCTGTCGAAAAACCCTGGATCCTTACCGGGAGACTTTGGAACTTCCTGCACACACTTCTCAGTAACATGGGGTGGTACTGAAAATTGAAAATTAAGAACATGGAAAATATTGTTAAACGTTAAGTAATCGTTTCGGATAGCTGCTAATTAAAATATGGTAGAAGTTGATTCTACAGCCAAATATAGCAGATTCCTTAAAGAAAACTAAGGCTTTCGTGTAGCTAGGATCAAAAAGATAATAAACCCTTGCAGTATTGTTCGACTGTAAACACAGTACAGCGCTTTGAGGTGCGCACCGAAAAGGGAAGAGCATAAATGTGTATTCCCAATGTAAAGTTGAACTTCGGATCGGTTTGACAGAGCTCTTTGACCACTCATCGCGCGCGTACTTCCCGAGGTATCAACTCAAACAATAGTGACCACTAGTCCAAAGAGGTAATACACCTTTGCCTACATGCTTAGCTCCTCCTAAATACTAAGCGTATTATTTTAATAAAATCAACTCACATTTCAATTCCTCTCCAGCATTCACCATGTCATTGAACTGGTCCAGGCTCATGACATTTTTTTTCTTTAGTTTCTTAGCTTCTTGCTTGCTTAGCTCACTAATCGTTTCCTCAAATTCTGCACTCTCCTTAGTTTGTAGGTATACTCTTCCTTCCTCCTTTTCAAAATCAAGCTTTGATAGTAATATAGCCTAGAAATATATCTTAACATTTAATGCATGCAGATCTAAAAAACCCTTCAGCCATTTGCCATTTGCATTTGCCTTGTTTAATAAAATGTTATACTAACTTCTTGCCTGCAACTTCGTTCACATATTATGTCCAAATATTCAAATGCTACTCAATTTTAAATCGCGCTTAAGTATAGTCCTGTCACTACAAATTTTTTGTTGAATGACAGAGATGGCACGACATTGGAGTACAATTTAAAATTGAGTAGTCTATATAGTCTATAGACTATGGCCGTTTTCACCAATTTACAGATACAATTTAGTTATAGGTTGGTGTATACCAAAATATTGTTCAATGTCACCAGTCTTAGCGGTTTTTTAAATTTAAAGGAGGTGAAAACTGGTATGTGTGACTTTATGACCTGTAGGTATAAATATTACCGCTTTTTTCCCTCTACCAAATTCAAGTTACAAACTAAGTTGATGTAACTTTCTTTTTTAAACAAAACTGTAATCCCAATGCCCGCTTCACCCATGTGGGTAAGAAATTTCCAAAAATTATATCATAATCTTCATATCAACTTTTCATCCCTTATTCACCCATTTAATTTTACTTTCTATGGAACAAATTGTAAAGAAAATACATATTTTTTTGTGTTAATTTTCTTCTATAGGATGTTTTAGATGACCTACTAGGAACCCACTAAGAATATGCACTTATGGTAAATTCTGAGGGCTGATATAAAACAAAATCTAGACAGAAACTATAAATAAAATTTCCAGACACAAAATTTATCAAAATCTTTTCACTGGTTTAAACAAACATGCATGAATAAGAAATAAGACATATAATAATAAAAACACACACATTCGCAATCATTATATTAAAATAATAGAGAATACCTCATCCAAGCCAGAAGATATTTTAGTATTAAAATAAAAAAAATGTGCATATAATAAAATGCCTAATATTCCTGAAAAGAAATGCACATAAGGGCCAACTCTTTTCCACACCCTTTATCACTTATCAGTAGTAAGTTATATTTGGCTTGTCTCTTATTATAATTTTGACATTATTGAAAGAATGTCTTCTGAATTGGACAAGTTTTCTACGGCGTGTAATCTATTTCCTTTTCGTCCCGAAGTAAAATGGTTCTGTGTCGGTAATGCAATAGTTTTACAAAGAAATAAAATGTTTAAATTAACTGGTGAAACATTGCAAAAAGCAAAGTTCGAAAGAGCATACACACTCAGTATCAGTACATCATCAACAAGCCATATAATTCTCGAAGAGGTATTTCTGGTCGGGTGGCACGTACGATGCGAATAGTGCCTCTAAATTTACATACTCCTTATGGCAAGTTATTTTGCCGCGGGACGAAAATGAAATAAATTTCACGGTGTAACCTACATATGAAGAATAGTAATAATAATTGTGTAAACTCTTTCTAAAATCTTCATACAAACTTTAAGAATATTAAGTTGAATTCTTAATATTTTGTGTATTGCGCAACAGCCATTCCTATTATGAAGAAACATGTATTTATTAAATCGCCAGCAATTTTATACAGAAGTATTTAAGTATTGTCGGAATACTCAAACGCTACTCAATTTTAAGTCGTGCTTAAGTATAGTTCTGTCTCTACAAATTCCTTGTAAAATGGCACGATATTTAAGCACGACTTAAAATTGAGTAACGTTTCAGTATTCCGGCGTTATTATGTGATTTTTTTATTACAATCAGCTTTAAAAAGGCTTAACCAAAATCTTAAGATTTTGCACATATATCAGTCATCTGGATTTGTTATTTTTTGTAGAAAATTGGAAACTTGATTACGCCTTTAATTAGACTAGCTTAATGGTTCAGTTTGATTTTTTGTGTTATATTATCAGAAAAGTTTTCTCATGAAGGAGCTGCGATGCGCCATTGGTGCAGTGGCTGGGCAACCGGCTGCTATGCAACGTGTCTCGAGTTCGAATCTTGCGCAGAACCATTCTTTGTGTGATCCGTTGTTTAACTCGTCGATTACCGGTTTTGTAGACACAATTATAGAACAATAGGTTGCGGTCACCTGTGACCGCTTGGTGTTTGACAGTTTAAAAGACAAAAATTGAAATGAGAATTGTGGGAAGAAAACTTATTTAATTGTTGTCAAACACCAAGTCTGTATTTCAAGACTACAAAATGTCTGATGTTAGACAAGGAAAGAAAACATTATAGTCCACAATAATTGCCCTCACCCTCCTACAATCAATGTTCTAAATATAGTAAGCAATTTACTCAACAAATAGGTAAAATCAATATCTTGCAGTCTATGGAACATATCATATTGTAAAAGGTCACAAATGGGAGGAAATTGTTATTGGAACTGATTGAAACTGACAGCAAGGTCTTGACAGCGAGCCATTAATATGCAGCATTCAATTTGTTATTGAAAGCCGGAAATTATGCAACGGCTGCAACTATGGAACAATATTTTCATCTCAGAATACTATTGAAAGATAGTTTTTAGCCACTGAATGATATGCCTTGTTCACACTATGCTAGTATTTTAGTCAAGTAGCGAGTATTTAATAATTCTCTTTAGCTTCGATTTTGGGACAAAAGCAAGAGGGATATACTAAACATTTGCTGCTCGACTAAAATACTAGCATAGTGCGAATAAGACAATGAGAAGAAGCTCATGTGTAAAATCATTTCATTTAAAAACATACAGACATGAAAATACTTGAGAGCTATTTCACTCACTAATGAAAACATGTTTTTATTTAGTTTACCTACATTTGTTTACAGCAGTAAAATAAAATAAAAAAATAAGTGAAGTTCTTGAAATAAATGTAACAAATAATTGTAAGTAAATCAATATTACATTGTCACCTATATCTTGGTAAAAGTTTAGTACCCAAGTACTTATATACAAATAAAGATAAGAATAAAATCAAGAGAACATTCTGATTCTCTGAACTGGTGGCTCAATAAGCATTTTGTGTAGACAAACTTACGCCACAACTTAAATCACCATTAAACTAGGTACCTACTGAAGAAAATATAAGACAAATATTATTGCAAAGCAGATTCAACAAGTAAAATATCATAATATTTATTTGAGATAAGTGAGTTACCTTTTACAAATAATAAAAAGGGTTATTATTAATAAGTTACGAGTGAAATTTGATAATTGTACAATGTTTATTGTCAGTGTGTTAAAGTTTAAATGTAGTTTCATTATATATTTTTACGATGCTTTTAGACCTCTATTATAAAATAATGAAAATATGAATTCCTAGTTATAAGATTTGTTAAAAAGAGTTTACACAATACAAAGAGATTGTATCAATACACATAGCAAACAATATAGAAAGAAATTGTAATATGCTAATGAATTTAAGTGAATGGTGCACAATAATGTTTGTTATAGAACTTACTTGCTGTAGTTCATCCTCAAAATGGCCAACCACCATTTCTTCATCCTTCTGTTTCCACAGTTCCCACTGATCGGCAGATACTTGTTGTGGTTTAGACTTCTTCTTTTTTGGTCCAGGCTACAAGCCACACATTATAAGTACGACAATAAGTAATATTTAATTAATGATGATGAACAATCTGATAGTAAAACTATGTTTCTTATTAATTCTATACTCTTATAAGAATCTTCTTAGAAACTTACCTGGGGTTTATTTGTAACATTTTTTTGTTTCTTTGGAGGTTCAGTCTTTTTAGTGTTGTTCACTTTCGACTTTTTAGACTTCTGATTTTCGGTGGGAGGGTAATCGTCATCCTCGATCTTCAGACCGGCAAACCGAGATTGTACGACCAATTGAGCCATTTTACGATATTGGATCTGTTTGTAAATAATAATAACAAATATTACAGCACTAATATATTTCAAATAATAATGGGCTGGTTAAAATAATTTTGGCGTAAATAAACATAAACCAACATCCAAATTGGACTATCTCAGTCATCAGAATCAGTTTACATAGGACAATGTACTGCACCCATAAAGCGCTGATTTTTATTTACTTTCACTTACCTATTGGAAATTAATGGGAAATCGAATGATCTGTTTTTCTGTAACAAATAAACTCCCAGAAAGCGGCGATAGGGAAATCCAACGGATTAGACAGCTGAAGGCTGAAGCTGCCGACAAACGTGTGATTGCCAGATTAGAAAAAATCAAAAATCAATAAACAATAAATAAACCGATAAATAGAGTTGATCTGACCTGAAAATAAATTATCAGTAGCTATGGAACGAAAAATCAATGAAAATAATAAATAATATTCGTTTATTAGCCCTTAGGGATACAGATAGGGGTGATGCCCGATGTAGAGCCGCGGAAGGCCTAACAGGTTGCCGAGGCTACGGCTTGAACAGCAGGAGTAGGAACGGTGTGGTTTTCAGTCAGTAAGAGTCTGACACACCCTCTCGCCTAACCCATGGCGAGAAGCCATAGATGATTTCCACCTAAAAAAAGCCTTTAGGGATGTGGAGTTTAATAAGTTCCACTATAAATATCCGTTAAATTGATAATCGATCTATTACACGCTCAAAATAACTATATTATAACGTAACCGATTTAAGCTACATACAGGATTTCTAAAACATCACTGGTTGCCATTTATCTCAAAGATTCAAACATATTTATTTAGGATTAGTATTGTCAATTACAAATGTTTGATGTTGATATATGACCATAATGACTGATTTAACTCGTCGAGTACCGGTTTTGTAGATAGATTTTTATCGGTTTCTTTCCTACTAATTCTCAGTTGTCTGACATCTGTGACAGTGACATTTTGCTGACTGATTATGATTTGTTTAATGACAATCGACAAATGTCAGATTACTTTGGTTGGCGGCATTGGCACGTTTGTTTTTGTGTCAGTTTCTACAAGTGGTTCTAAAATATTTAACCATGAAATTACACTGCCAAATAGAAGTTATCAATAGATTACACAGTACTTTAAATATAAGATCTAGTGGCAAGTATTTAAAATCTACTCTGGCTCTGATAAAGGAACCGAAAAGTGAAGCGGAATATAGTCTGCTACTATTTTCAACTGTGAACAAAACTGGCACAAAATATCGTGTTAAATCTGTGAAGCAAATGTTTATAAAGTTCATAAATGAAGGGAAAGCCACCATACGCTTCGAAGAACCACCTCATGATTTATGTATCAAATGTGAACACATACAATTGAAATGTTTCGTAAAACTGCTTAGGTCGTGCATCACCGGTGATACAAAGAGCATAAATTTAGCAAAATTATCTAGTGTAGCCGTAACGCATAAAGAATCCCCCACAAAATTGGTAATACGTGATCGGAGTGCTTTCCCTAACAAAGGATTCCCAAGAACGTTGGAATCTCTTACTATAAGTGGACTGAACCTTTGCAATTTTAGAAGAGACATTTTATTATTGAAACAACTTGTTGTACTTGATCTCAGTAACAATGTCATTGAACACATACCACCAGAATTCGGTAAATATAGGTTTGAAATTAAATAAATTAGAATTTAAGGTGTCATGAAATTTTTATTAAATTTTTCTTTTCTTTATTACATTTACAGGAAACATGCCCAATTTAGCTGAATTAAATTTGGCTAATAATAAACTCGGAGTAAAAGGAGTAATAGATTGGAGATGGTTATTACGTCTTCAGGTAATAAAACAGATTTATTAGCAACTAGCTGTGCCCGCGACTTCGTTCGCGTAGAATAGTGACTATGAGCAGCGTTTTTTTTTTAAATATATACTTATTTTAGATTTGGATCATAATCACAGTCATTTTGGGTAGCTAAAAAACCTACTTTACTGTAATGCTTCTCTATATACAATATTAGACGTATGGCCATCGGGGGTGAAAGCATACAGGCTGCTGGGATTGCTAACACGGGACAGAGCCACATACAATTGACCGTGCGAAAAACAGCTGATACTTAGATCTATACCCACAACTTTTAGAGTCTGACCTTGAGCTTTATTAATTGTCATGGCGAAACAAAGGCTCACTGGAAACTGAATTCGTTTAAAATTAAACGGAAATTTTTTTGGAATGAGAGGAATCTGAGGAATAAAACCACTAACACCTTTTCCGCACCCTGTTAAATATATATATATTTATAAGCCGTTTCTGAGATTAGCGTGAACAGACAAACAGACAAACAGACAAAAAAAAGTTAGTTACATTTTTGGGTTCGACATCGACATAACAATAGCCCCTGCTATTTTATTTATTTTTATTTTCAATGTACAGACATCACTTTTCTACAATTTTATTATATGTATAGACAATAAATAAAAAATGGTTTTAATCCCCAGTTTTGTTTGTTTTCTTTTTTATTTATTAGTTATTTAAAGATCCAGGAAGCATACACATCATACAATATAAAAATTTATGAAACTACTGAAATGATTTAATTCACAGGTTAAGAATAAGCTAAAACTGTTGGATTTAGGTGGAAATGAATTAAAATACTTGCCAAAATCAATATGGAAATTACAGAGTCTAGTTACTCTGAAGGTGGATAATAATTTGTTGGAACATCTGCCAAACACTATTGGACGCATGAACAATCTTAGGTGAGCCTGTTAGCCTTTCATTGGTGCCCGGTTATACTTGATTTCTCTTGTAACTTAAGTAACCTATGCAATAGTTTCATATCCTCATAGAGGTATGGTAGAAGTCATTTGCGAATTTTTGAAGGCAGAATTGACAACCATCCACTTCGAGCTTGCTTTATGCCAAACTCCTCTGAAAACCTCTTCCAATCTCTGTGACCAACTTGGACGGGGACTAATTATCCACGTCTTGCTTGCTTTTAATTAACTTTTAAACTTAAACACTAAGGAGTATGTCCTTGTTTTAGGTACCTCACAATAGCTCTGAACAAACTCACATCACTACCATGCAGTATGCTCCAACTTCACCTGGATTACATAGATCTCTCAAATAACAAACTAAATGATAGAGATACAGAGCAATCAAAAATGCTTAAAAGCAATCCCTGGGAAATGTATGTTAACAGTTTAGTAGACATAGCAGCCAGAGTTGTTGTAAAACAGAAAATTACCTATGCTCCTAATACTATTCCATGGACCTTGGTGGAATACTTAGATGATGCCAACTCGTGTGTTTGTGGAGAACCCGTCATGAATAAAGAACATTATAGCTTTAAAGAGTACCAATTAAAATATTATGCTCATGTTGTAGTGTCAGATGAGAACAGGAAGGGTACTGTGTCATTCCTATGCTATTACTGCTCGCCTAAATGTATGTGATATAATAAAAGTATTAAGTTAAACAATAAAATAAAATATTTATTGATAAATGTGCTTTCATTTTATGATTATAAATTAATTAAGACCTTCAAGCTTCCAACTGATGTCAGTGATAACTGGAGCTATTCTTATATGTGGATCTGAAAGAAAAAGCATTATAATGTAAGCCTGTGATGATGTATGTAACACATAAACTACTATTTATGTAGGTATATTGTTCTAACTCACCAAGTGAGGCAATCCCTTGTGGTATTATGCTTTGTCCTTCTGGAACATTCTGTGCAGCTATAGACGCGTTCGTCGCTTCTATTACAAATTCATTTGTCCAGATATCTTTGAAACTGTCCTTCATTTCTTTCAACACTTTCTCCAAAGATGTCTGTAGATAGATACACAATTTGTTAGATATTTGTCTTCCTAATAAAATTACTTACGGCTTAGAAGAGTAACTCTTCTAAAACTGAGTGTCGTTTTAGCAGCATAAGGCAGAGTAGAAATCAAATCCAATTTGGTTCCTGCTCAAGCTGTAGGTACGTACATATTTGCTATGGCTAATCCTCTACTAGTCACACTCGTTCATTACAAACATAGACCTAATAACATGTTAGACTAGACCAAAGATTTACTACAAGAAAAAAGAACTTTACCTGCAAAATATAAGCCTCCTTGTCTTTACTAAAATAGCTGAGAGCTATAACTAACTCTTTAACTGACAATCTCAGTTCGTATGTAGCCGTAACTAGAGTATGCAAAGCCATGACTAATGCAACGTCTTCATACTGAGATCCTTCTTTCAGTGATGCCACCTTGCGCTCGTGTTTTCTTCTATTCTTGCTTGATCGGAAGGATCGGCTGTAACAAAATAAATTGAAATACATAACTAAATAGTTAAAACTAGGTAGAATAAGGTTGACTGGTAGAGAATGGCATTAAGTTCGCCTTATGCGCCGTAATCAAATTTTGTACATAAAAGAATAAATAAAAAAATAGAATAGTAAGTAGATGCAAGTGTGGCTGCTAAGCCAAGGGTCTTACTTAGGTTCGACTCACGGTTCGGGCAATTTATTACTGGACTTTTTTGATTTTAGTTTGGATTTTTCTGATCTTGTTACTAACTCATTTACTATATGGGATTTGTAACATAACTGGTAAAGAGTAGGTTTAACACTTTAAATATGTGCATTGTAGAACTCTGAAGAAAAACTCCTTAGACTACCTACTTTAGAGGTAAATAGAGTAGCTAGGCGCCTCACTGCCTGGCAGACGGAGGGACAATTCAATTATTGACATTTCAAAAGTGCCTCATTAAGGACTAATTGAAATAAATGCTTTGACTTTTTACTTTGAAATTTTTATTAACAAAAACTGCATCCGATCTAGGTAGTATCAAATGGTAAAATAACTGACTTACGTGGAACCCCTAGACGAGGCGACGGTGCTTCCAGCATCTGAATATAAGTCACTATCCTTATTGGCGTAAAAGTCGAATGTGTCTATAGGGTGCTTCGTTTTATTTTCCCTTACGACTTGAAGACGTTCCCGATGCCTTATAAACGTTGCGTAGTTTGTCTCAATTAATTCTTTAGTATTGTTGTATTCTTCTCTCAACGCTGGTAGTAGTTTCTCTTCTAAAGATTAAAATAAACTTGAAATAAGTACCTAAACATTTAGGTAGAAATACTTTTTTTTTCTTTTTCTTCTTTTTCTTTTTTTTAAACGTTGCCCCACACTAGGATTTTCTCCTGTGTCGTGGGTGCGTTTACAAACATACAAGTTCACATACACAATGACATCCAGACCCGGAACAACAATTTGTGGATCACACAGTGTTGTTCTGTGCGGGAATCGAACCCGCGACACGTTG